GGCAGGGCCAGCGCACAGCCCCGCATTCTCCGAGCTGCCGCCACACCACGCACCGCCCAGAGGCAACAACTCCACCCCAGGCACGCTCACAGCTCACCAGCTGACAGCCCTAAATCCCCCTGCCCGTTCCCCCATAACTGGGCACGATGGGACAGTGCCCACCCCAAAGCCCCTGGCCCTGTACCCACACCCATCCTGAGCTGTCCCGGGGATGGTGTGATGGCACACGGACCATGGGGATGCTGTGGCAGGTGCAGGCAGCACCAGGGAGCTGAGGGGAGCAGCCCAAAAGGTAAAGGGAAAAGAAGTGGGGGAAATGTCCCCTGCTGACCCTCCACGCTCCCTGCTGAGCACCCCCGACCCTCTTCACTGTGATCCCCAGAGCTGTGATCCTTCTCTTGCCCCTTCCAGCCTCTCTAGGACAAGATGAAGCAGATTTTCCTCCTCTTCCTCCTCGGGCTCATCACCAGGTCCTTGCAGATCGAAGATAACAAGATCCCTGGGCTGTGCTCGGGGCAGCCGGGCATCCCGGGGACCCCGGGCCTGCACGGGGGCCAGGGTTTGCCAGGCAGAGACGGACGAGATGGCCGGGATGGAGCCAGGGGGATGCCAGGGGAGAAGGGCGAGATGGGCCCTCCTGGTAAGAAAGGAGAAATCCCAGCTGGGGAGGGGGATTTGGGGAACACCCTCACGGCAGGGGGCGAGTCCTGCATGCTGGCACAAGATGCCAAACGGAGAATGAATCCTGCAGAAGCGCCCCTCCCGTGCCACCCCTGCCTGTGTCCCTGCAAAAGGGTAAAACTGCGTTTGTCCCCATCCCCGATGCCACACCTCTCTCTTCCAGCCCTGCTTTAGGAGGGACCACCAGGAATTGCATCATACCCCTGCTCCTGGGCTGGGCTTTCTCCCAGCCTGTAAGGGTTTCTCCAGCGATTTCTTGATGTTGTGCTAAATTACACACCCAGCCCTCCCCACTAGTGCTGCTTCCCCACGCGGTGCCCTGGCTATGGCAGGGAATCCCTGGTGGAATCGGGCAAGAGGAGCTGTGCTGGTGACTCAGAGGTGACCCTGTCCCCTCCTGCCCGCCCCAGGAGTGCCCGGTCCCCGCGGCGAGGTGGGCAGCCCCGGTGTGGACGGGCTGCACGGTGAGAAGGGAGCTCAGGGCGAGTGCGCCGTGGCTCCTCGCTCTGCCTTCAGCGCCAAGCGCTCCGAGTCCCGCAGCCCTCCCCTGGCCGACCAGCCCATCCTCTTCGACGTGGTGCTCATCAACGAGCAGGGCCACTACGACCCTGCCACGGGCAAGTTCACCTGCGAGGTGCCCGGCCTGTATTACTTCGCCGTGCACGCCACCGTGTACCGCACCAGCCTGCAGTTCGACATCATGAAGAACGGCCACTCCATCGCCTCCTTCTTCCAGTACTACGGCAACTGGCCCAAGCCCACCTCGCTCTCGGGGGGCTCCCTGGTCCGCCTGGAGCCCGAGGATGAGGTGTGGGTGCAGGTGGGCGTGGGGGACTACATCGGCTTCTACGCCAGCGTCAAGACGGACAGCACCTTCACCGGCTTCCTCGTCTACTCCTACTGGCAGAACTCCGCCGTGTTCGCCTGAGCCCG